ATTTTTTTAGCCGGGTTAAAAAAAAAAAAAAAAAAAAGAGTAAGAATAGTGAGAAAATTTTCAATCAGTCGCCATTTTTTTTTTTAAATTAAAATTTTCAAAATTCCGTACGTGCGACGATAACTACATCCTTACTGATTAAAAAACAATTTGAATTTTTATTTTCAAATGATCCGTTTTTGAGTTATCGAACCGACCATGGAGGGGGAAATTTTTTCTAGTGCTCTACGAGATTGTTAATAACTTTGTAATAATTAAATATTTTTTAATAAAAATTTAGCGTAATCATCTTTGATGTACCCTTAATAAAATAAAAAAAATCCGATCCCCAAATTCCTTTATTTTCCCTGTCAAAAAAATTCCCGAAAATCACCCCTTTTTTTCGATCGTCACAGTGGTGTTCCCCCTTAAAGCTGCTCGTTTGATAAAACATAATTGATCAGAACATTCCTGAAAATAAAAATTCCAATTTAAAAATCAAATTTAGTTATAAAAAAAAATAAACAGACCAGTTTAAGCTCAATTCAATCTCCAATTGGAGCTTTCAGCGTGGGATTAACCATGTGCCCATCAAACATTAGATGTATAATGATGATATGCAGCAACTAAACTGCTGGCGTCATTGCAGTCAATCTGTTTGAAGCGCTTCCCACGAAATAACCTGTTGATGCAGCAATAATCTATATCCATATGAATGGAACAAAAGACAAAGACAAAGACTTGGTTGCAATTGTAACTCGAAAATTAGCCTAATTGACTTCTTTAAATTATCCTTTACGTTATCCACCTTCCGTGTTACTCTGCCTTGATTAGATGACGAGGATGAATAATTAAAAAAAAATAATAAAAATGTACCCACTAATCAGCAGTACTCTGCATTGAAATCTCAGTACTTATTGCTATTATGTTAATTAACAACAATTGTTTTTTTCTTTACAGCGAAGTTAGTGTATCATCAGCCCGTGCGGCGGTGATGGTTTACGATGACGTAAACAAAAGGTGGATACCGAGTGGTAGCTCTTCAGGATTGTCTAAAGTTCAACTGTATCACCACGTTGTGCATAACACGTTTCGCGTGGTCGGTCGCAAGCTCCAAGACCACGAAATCGTGATTAATTGCGCGATACTCAAAGGCTTGAAGTACAATCAGGCGACAGGAACTTTTCACCAGTGGCGTGACAACAATCAAGTCTATGGGCTTAATTTTTCTAGCAAGGATGACGCGGATGCTTTTGCACGTGCTATGTTGCAGGCACTTGATGTAAGTTTTGGTTATTTTATTTTTATTTATTTATTTATTTATTCCCAAAAAAGATACAGCAGCGCTCAAAAGTATTTTGACAAATATATTTAATGGTTTAATTGAAAATAATTATGAAACACAATAATCATTTATTTATTTTTTGAACAGCTTTTGAATAATCTACAGAATAATGTCAAAGTGGTCCTTGTTTGTAACAAAAGAAAGTTTAATTTTTAAAATATTAGGAAAATGGATGGTCAAAAGTATTTTGATATTTTTGAAAAAAACTAATGCATAATGTTGTCAAAATACTTTTGGGCGCTACTGTAGATAAATATACATACATATCGACGGTCTAATTAGCAATTGGTCTAACTCCTTATTTTTTAGAAGGTGATTTTTTAACATTTTGATACAGCAATAGTCCAATTATAAATTATTTGAATGATCCAAACCAAAACATTATACCTTTATTAGATATTAATGATATTAAATGGTTTTTAATGTGATATTAAATTTTTAAATCAATTGTTTTTTCATACAAATGGAAGATTCTTTAAAATGGAGTTAGACAATTTGCTAATTAAACCGTCGATATATATATATAGTACATTCAAATCCTATAGAGGAAACCATAATGTTCCTTGTGCATTGGTTTGGGAGAAGTGAATGCCTATTCATATATGATTCATACACAGAAAAAAAAATGTTCTTGAGTCAAGTATATAATTTTGAAGAACTTAATCTTCTTGATTTATAAATTTTTCTTAATTTAAAAAAATTTTACTTGATTTACGAAGAATTTTTCGTCTTGATTCAAAACAATTATCTTCTTCAAAATTATTTTTTTGGTTCAAGAATTTTTCTCTCGAATCAAGTTAATTTTTTTTTCAGTGTATGAATTATACCGTCATCTATGCCTATTTATCAAAATAAGCTCAATATATAATAGATTTAACTTATTTAAATATAAATTATAGAGCGAAAAAATTATGAAGAGCACCAAAAAAATTTTTAAATAATTATTCAAAGGCGTAAATAATATTTATAAAGTTAATAGTTGCTATTTTATTTAGATTTTTGGGATTAATTATCTTTGTCTGGTATGGAGATTTGATTATTATTTCTTCTTTTCTTGTACTGATTGTAAATTTAATTCAAGGTGCCAAAGGATGGTGAAGAATATTTTGTTGAGAGCTAGCACACCGACTGAAGCTTAGTTATAGACCACGGACTACCGCGTTTTCAATTACACTAGCTAGCAGCTTTTATCTTTCTTGTATATTCAGTATGCCCTTTGAAGATCAACGTCTTACACGGACTTTGTGTCTGGCCTAAATTCTCCGTTATTTTAATTTTGAAATTCAGTAATTATGTATTTTTAGTTGGATTCTAAAAGGAATTATTTAAATATTCGTTGAATTAATTTTTAAACGGAAGAAATTTTGATGGGTCATTTAAGTTGTTGCAAGGGTTAAATGTTAAATATAAAATTATAATCAAATTAAGTAGACTTTTTTAGTAATTATTAATATGACGTGCTCTGAATTCGTATTTTTAATTATGCAAAATATTTAATATTTTATTTTCTCAATTATTAAAAGTTAAATATCTTTCTTAAATTTGAAATTTTTGATAAAAATTTTAATAAATTATTATCTAAGAAAATCAATATTAATTTTATAAAATTTTACCTACAAATAATTTGTTAAAAAAATGAAATAATCTGAATGATAAAATAAAATAAAATAAAATAATGATACAATATAAAAATGACTAAATTCTGTCTGAAGCGAATACTTGAGAAATAGTTTAAAAACTCAGACACAGATAATCTGAATTCTAACAAAAGCCACGTACGGAATGATACCCTCCATTCATAAAAAATGAAATATTTTTAGACTAGGGCAAACTGAAGCGTGTGTATAAATTTAAACTGATCTCGGTATGCTCGCTCTATATTTTTAGCTCTAAAAAAAAAAGGTGTCAAGTCCTTGACGCCCGAGAATTGACCTTTCGATTAGCACGATTGTCACAAATTGCCGGCTAATTATCTCTAATTGTGTAGGTGCTGAGCAACGGTAGCAACATATCGAGGAGTCTAGTACCATCAGGCACACCAGCAGGTCAGCAGCAGACTTATCCCCAGCAGTCCCAGCAGCCGACCCAGGCCACAGCACAATATGAAGAGGACATGGGATACAGGTAATTAGAGATGATACTTTGTCATCGTTTTTAACTTTATCCTTTTAACTCAAAACCACATCGTCATACTTTGCTTCTAAATTCTCATCCTCTGAAAATTCATTTCACACAAATTTAATACAGCTTTATTCTGGACGTTTGTTTAATTAAAATAAAAAAAAAAAAATAAGTTAACCATTGAGGAGTCAAATTAAGGGTGGTTAAAAGTAGTTGTCTAAATATTTGATGAGTGATTAGATTACAATTAACGATTGCAGTAAAATCCAAGGGCATGCTCATCAAAGTTACCCGTCTTCGCTGGTGGGTGCAATCCCACGGATTTCATTGTCGCTTGGACAGCTTTCAGCAGGGGTTGCTGGCGTGTTGCCTTCCTCAGTGCCCCCGACTCCTACTCCCAACCATCAGAATCAGAATAACATAACAAACAATAACAATCACAACAGTGTCGTCGGCTGCTCGCGTCATTCACCAACAAACGGCCTCAATTCGAGGTGAACTCTTTACTCTCTACTGGATTTTATTGTGCCGACACGTCTCACAGCCACCAACCATCAAAGATTAGATCAAAGATATATATCTAACCTCTGAATAAATACTGTAACAATCGCCGTTTTATTAGTTACCCCCTTTCACTTATATACTTATATATCACCAACACTTCCATCAATTAAATGGTCGCATTCACTCATACCAAAACGGCTAGCTCACTTGTCTTCTTATTCTCATTCTACATAACTAGTTTTCTTCTTCTTTCTTTATTCAACTCTGATGCATGTCATTTGATATTATTATACTCAAATAGTTCACCGTCATTTTATGCTCTTTTGTTAGCGTTATATTATACTTATTATATTTATTTTTCTTCATTTTATTTGAATCCTTATTGATCATCGTTAGGTCATTTTGTCGGTTAAATATGACTTGCATCTGTCGTCAATAGTTACTGTGGAAAATTGCCTTATGTAATAATGACAATAAATAATAATAATAATAATTTATATTATTAAGATAATAAAAAAAATTTTGTGTCCAAGATTGTCATATGATAAAATCGGTTTTGTAGTGAAATTTAGTGTCATTACAAAGGTCTTGATTTTAATTTATGCCTTTTCAAGGTTTCATATCATTCTCACCAATAGTCAATTTATTATAAGTATTTAGGCTGCATTCTAAAATATTTCTAAATACATAATTAAGAAATGACCTTGTATCTTGAGAAATATTGACATTTTTAAAGATATAAGCTCATCCCGATGTTACACTCATCGAGACCTTTCATTTGAGTACCCACATCAATTTTTCATATATTTAATATATTATATATATGTATATATGAAAAATATATGAAAATGCATGTGGGTACTCAAATGAAAGCTCTCGATGAGTATAACACCTGGATGAGCTTATATCTTTAAAAATGTCACTATTTAAGAAAGTACAGTGCAATTTAATATACATAAGAATCGACTTTGTATCTTGAGAACTATTGACATTTTTATAGATATAAGCTCACACCAACATTACACTGATCAAGACCTTTCATTTGAGTACCCACATCAATTTTTCATATATTTAATATATTATATATATGTATATATGAAAAATATATCAAAATGCATGTGGGTACTCAAATGAAAGCTCTTGATTAGTGTAACATCAGGATGAGCTTATATTTTTGAAAATGTCAATATTTAAGAAAGTACAGTGCAATTTAACAAAAGTCATTATTGAATAAAGCAAAATTTTATTTATTTTTAGTTCACAAGTCACGGCAGTCACGTAGTGACTGCAAGATTGCTAATAATAATAACAATAAAAATAATAACAATAATAATAATAATAATAATAATAATTCTTGTTAAAGAAGAAATAAGATATTATGAGGCCGTAATTATTAAAAGTTAACCACCTTAGCGATGGCTAATCCCACAAATTGGGTAAGTATTTTACCAACGGATGCAATTAGTAATTAATCACTTGATTAGATTCATTTAGACTTAGAAAATCTCACGTAGAGTTATATTAAAAAAAAAGAATAGCCTTTTTTTTTTCTTAAATCATATTCTAAGGAATATTAATCGCTAAGGTGGTTTTATAGATCATATTAAAAATGTCTTCTCCAAGTAGCTGTCTCTTAGAGGTATAATAAAAAATAACTAAATGTTTTAATCAATATTTTAGTCTCTAGATGGCTGAATATCTTGGCTTCGCATCAGTTTCTCAATTATTTACTGTTACAATAAATTTTTTTTCCAACCAAGTTATTGCAAAATTTTAAATGGTTTTATTCTTTTTCAGAACTATGACACGAGAAGACGTAGCAATTATTCAAGAACGCAGAATGTCACAACAAAGTCAAAGTGAGTGCTAAGTAATTTTAACTTACGCGTTTGAAGTACTTTTATTTTATTACTTAAGCTTTGAATTATTTATTAGAAGAATTTTCTTCAGTTAATTCTGAATTTTTTTTAATTAAATACAATTTTAACATATTAATGACGCAATTTTATTTTAATTAAAAAAAAAAAAATCAACCAATAAATTAATAAATATAATTTTTGAATTTTAAGATTGATTTTTTAAGAACATTTTATTTTTTTAATTAGAATAAAATTGCAAGTGTCAGTAACTGGGTTTTTTTTACCTTAGTATTTTTTTTTATAGAATAACATTTTTAATTGACCAATTACTTAATGAGTGAAAAAATCCCAAGTACCAAATGAATTATAAATCTTATAATTAACGAGTGAATTTTCTTTTCTAATTACAGGTTCAAATGGTCCAAGTGCGGTGTCACCAAGCTGTCCATCAGTAAACCCCCAGTCCCAGCAACAACCAGTCCAGCAGCAGCCCCAGCAGTCAGGACACCATAGAACGTCATCAGCGCCTCCAGCGCCTCAACCCCAGCCTCCACCAATGCCTGGAGCGATGATAACGCGGCCGCAGATTCCAGGGCCTCCAGTACCACCGCCACAGCCACCGGCAGCTCCTCCAGCGCCTCCTTGTCCGCCGATGATGAACATCAATGCCCCAGTACCGCCCCCAATGATGAACCAGTACGCACAATCATCTTCCCAGTCGAATATTATCGCGAGCCAGCCAAACTCCCAGCCCCAAAATATTTACGGCAATAACAATATTAACAACCAGAACAATCAGGCCAATAATAATAATAATCAGTACGCGAGTAATTCAAATGTCTGTCAGAGTCAGTACTCCAGTCAGAGTAGTCTTTACGCCGGCAATAATCAAAATTATTCTCAGTCAAATAACTCATTAGCGGGAGCTCCCGTGAGTCAGTACGCAAGCACTCAAAATTGTCAGTACAATTCCCCTGGTAATAATGTTGCTGTTGCCGGTAATCAGTACGGTAGTAATAGCTCGATAAACCAGTATGCTAGTTCCCCGAGTCAGTTTGTGCAGCAGCAACAGGCTCAAGTTTCTCAGTACGGCCCCGTGGGCCCAGTCGCCCAGGGCCAGTACAACGCCCCCAACGCAAATAACGTTGTTGCTAATCCTTACGGGACACCTGCTAATTCTGTTAATCAGTATGCAAGTGGGCCTGCGGTTAACGCTAACGCTTATCCTCCCGTTGGCAGTAATGGTCCTCCACCACCCCCGATGGGTCCGCTCGGTGGTCCTGCTGCTCCACCTCCACCTCCGCCCCCGCCTGCTCCCAACGCTGATGCTGCCAAGGCTGCCAATAATAATTCTAATGCTAACTCGGTGCCTGAATCTGCGCCTGATGTTAATTCTTTGGCAGCTGCGCTACAAGCTGCTAGATTGAAGAAGAAACAGGTAATTCATTTTTTTTGGTAGATATTTACAAGGGTCAGCCATTTTAATTTTTATTTTTTTGAACGAAATTTCTGTTTGACTTTAGTGAGATTTTTTTTTGAAAAACAAAAAAATGAACAATTTAAAAAAAACATTGATTTTAATAAATTTTACAAATTTAAAAAAAAATTTATAAATTTTTTAGAAAATTGTGATATTTTAGTGTTGTATTAAAGTTTTATATATTTTTTTTTTTTGGTCTTATAATTGAGATTTTTTTTTAAATTCAAGAATTTATTCTGTTTTATTTAAAAATTCATTTTTTATATATTTTCAATTTAAAATTTATTTATTTAATGGTAACAAAAATTTTTTACGGAGAAAATTACTTGTTATTATTACTTTTTTAATTGCACACCTCATAGCGTGAAGCGGTCAATTTTCAATTGCAAACATATGGAAATTATTACTAATATTTATATTTTAAAAAATGGAATAATAATTTAATTTATCTTTTAGATATTTTAATTAATTATCTTTTTTTTATGACAATAATAAAGTAAATTAAATGTAATTTTGAAGTTGTACAATTTTATGTTGCTCTGAAAAAAAAATTAACTTGAATTAAGAGAAAAATTCTTGAACTAAATAAAATCTACTTAAATCAAGAAAAATTTAGGTAAATATTTACAAATATTTATAATTTAAAAATGAAATTTCTATTTATTTCTATAAAATAATGAACAATTAAAAAAAAATTGATTATCACAATTTGAACAAATTTTGAAAAAAATTTATAAAAAAGATAAAATAGAAATTTCATCCAAAAACTTGTAAATAAGTACCATTAATTTTTTTTTTTAACAAATTAAGTGTGATATTCATTGATGTTTATTCAATTACTAGCAACAAGCACAACCAGTAGAAAACGGTCCTTCTGGCAGCGGAGGTGGCGGCAATTACGGAACTCTGGGACGAGGAGGAGGCGGTGGAATGGCTTCGATGATGGATGAAATGGCCAAAACACTAGCACGTCGCCGAGCAGCTGTTGAAAAGAAACAACCGGAACAACCACCGGTAATTATTTATTTATTTTTTTGTATATACTTTTGAATTACTTGTAATTGCATTGCTGATTGGTTGTTAATTGTTTCTCCAGGAACCCGAGAGTTCACCCGACAAAAAATCCTGGGACAAAAATAACGCGAATAGTAAATTTTCAAACGGCGCAGAGTCACCGAAGTCAGCCCGGAAAAGGTTCGGGTCAGCATCCGAAGACACTTTGTTACGAGTTAACGGTGTTAATGACGGGGCCTTGCTTACTGCTCAAGAAATGGAGGCCTTTAAAGCTGAAATAATAAAAGAAGTGCGAAAAGAGTTTCAGAAAATGAAACAAGAAATAATTGACGGTACTTTTTGCTTATACATTGAAATCTTTGATCTTTAGTTTTAATTTTTTTTTTTCATATTGTATTTGTTTATTTTAGCGCTTAAAGGAGAGCTGAATCGAAGGTAAAGATTTATTCAGCCTTAACAGACAAATACAAGAATAATAATAATAATAAAATAATAATACTGATCAATAAAAGAAGAGAGATTTGACTAGATAGTTGAACTTTACCATTATCATCGACAACAACCACGTAAACGGTTTTTATTACATACTTGCGATAACAAACTGTAGTAATATCCATGTATATCTGCCATTTGTGTGTAAGTACATTAATCTAGCCTAGTATATTAATTATAAGTTAATTTACATTTTCGATACCCGATTATTATTATGAAAACAATTGTTTTTTTTACAAATAATTATTGAATTTCTATCGGAATTCCTAATTACTGAACTATTTTATAAATTGGCTTTTTTTGATAAATATTTTTTACTATTTTCGTGTTTAAAACATTTTTTACTCATTTATTTACTGTAGAATTTTTCGTAATTATTTACAAGTGAGATTATTTAAAAATGTTAATTTTCAAATTTTTTCTTTTTTATTCTGCTTGTTTTTACAAAAAAAAAAAAAAAAAAAAATGAACATTTCGATAACTTTTTTGTCTTGAAAAGTTGGAAAAAATTTTGGCTCATGTTTTTGGATAAAATTTCTATTTTATTTTTTTTGATATATTTTTTTTGAAAAGTACATAAAAAAACGAACAATTTAAAAAAAAAGTTTAATATCACAATTTTCTTGAAAATTTGTTAATATTATCATCAATTTTTTTATATATTTTTCAAAAAAAAAAATATATCAATAAAATTAAATAAAAGTTTCGTTTAAAAAAATGAAAATTAAAATGTTTGACCGCACTTGTAAATATTTACCGGATTTTTTCATTTTTATGTCATGGTTATTAAAAAAAAAAAAAAAAAAAAAAAATAAAATAAAAATATTTTACTAAGTTAATTACGACGATTGTAATTTAATATTTTTGGTTGTATTTATGAGTACATATCAATTATACATTCCGTTAAATTTCTGTACACCATTTTTATTCCGTTACACATTAAAAATTCGTCGTGAATATATTTAATTAATTAATTAAAAGTATATTTAAATTATTTTTTGAGATATGCCATGACATTGAAGTGAATTGATAATTTAAACTGATTTACGGATAACAATATAATGAGACTTTGAATAGCAATCACGGCATTAACAGTTTTTTATATTGTTGTAATTATTGTTAGTATTATTAACCCAGTGAACAAAGCCATTGATAATAGAGAAGCACGTAATATGGATTTCGATAGTTTAATGATAAATTTAAAAATTATTAAAAAGAAACAGAGTTACTCGTATTAGCAGAAGTGTGTCGCGAATATAAATTTGCACAAAATCTTCTGTGACTGAATTAAAGAAAAAAAAAAAAAAATAATGAAACAAGTCAGTCTGCTAAAATATATAAAGGTTTGGGTGCGTAAAAATTTAATCTCTAAAAAAGGAACCTTTTAAAATTCCAATTTTAAAAAGTTGCTTTCAAAAATTAAATTTTAACGCACCCTAAAGGTACTATCAATTAAAAATTGAATTTTCACTGAATTTATATAAAAAAAAAAATAAAAAAAAACTAAAAATAAAACAAACATTTTTTTCCATTAAGACTGAGCTAAAACAAGAGCAATTTTATTATCTAATATTTATAATAATTATAAAAAATGTAAACCAGCGTATTAAATGCGTTTTGTAAAGGATGGACAATTTGATTGTAATTGACGATTTAAAATCGACTGAAGGTTTGCACAAATCATTTCTAAAATAATTATTCAATTGGATACTATTATAATTCAATTTTAATCATAATTATAATTATTAACTATACTACATTAAAATAAAAAATTAATTTATAAAAATTAAAGTACTAACTGATATATCAATCTTATAAGATAATTATTAAAAGGCTGATTGTCGTATTCACACGATTTTTAATTATCGTGCACATGCTTTTGCTAAACTAAACTACTCTTCCCGTGTAATATATATCAGTGTAAGTGCTTCTTAGGCTTTTTTTATTTTAATATATATGACTATTAATATTAATTAAATAATTAAATAAACTTAATCCCACGTATTTATAATTGGATGTATTTATATTAAATTAAAACCTAATAATTACTACCAAAAACAAATGTTAAATTAAATTACTTGTCAAGTGGCTTTGTGGATAATTGTAGTCGATTAAGTTTAAGCTTAATGTAGCTTTCATTGCATTCAACTCAGTGTAGTCATTTTTTATATCAATTGATTAGTTAATTAATTAACACTTTTTTACGTAAAGTGATTCACTGTGCACTATTATCATTTTAAATCGTTGAATATAAATATTAATAACTATAAAGCTTGAATTGTCTCAATTTATCTGATCAAATGATTAATTTTATATTTCTTTTGTAAATATTAATCTTATTCCTTCCATTAACGCATATTTATTTTTAATTAATTACATTTTTAAATCAATAGTATAGTTTTTTTTAAAAAAAATATTTCGAAGTCGAAAAAAATGTCAGGATTTCCCAGTGAAACATTTTTTTTACTTTTTAATAATTATGTATATTTAATTTAAAAGAAAATTGTCTTGAAATAATTGAGAGAGAAGGACCAGAACGAAAAATGGATAGTATTAAGCAGCATTTACGCGTTAAATATATCACTTGCTGAATTTGTAGTTCTGTAATAAAAAAAAAAAAAAAAAATAAAAAAACATAAATAGAATATGCTAAAAAAAGAATTGATATGAATGTACTTGAAAACGAACAAAATAGCGCCATTGTATCTCACATGTAATTAATTAATAAAAATAAAAATATTGAAATATTCCAGGAGGATACTAAAAAAAAAAAAAAAAAAAAAAATTAAAAAAAT